TGGACCGCATAGAAACAAGAAGAAGCCAGTCAGGGATGTGAAGGTCAGGAGCAGCCTTGGCTGCAGTGACCCTGAGATGGCAGAGTTCAGGATTCTGAGAGAAGGAAACAAGGCAAAAAGCAGGATCAGAACCCTGGTTCAGAGTTGTGCTTGGAAGAATTTCATGGGATACAGCCCTGGAGAGAAGAGGGGTCCAGAAGAGTTGGTTGATTCTCAAGGATCAACTCCAAGCTCAAGAATGGTCCATCCCAACAAGCAGAGTATCAAGCAAAGGTGGCAGGAGGCCTGCATGGATGAAGAAGGACCTCCTGACTAAACTCAAACATAAGCAGGATATGCACAGGAGGTGGAAAGAAGGACAGGTAACCTAGGAGAAGTACAAAGACACTGTCCAAGTGTCCAAGGCATGGGATTAGGAAAGCCAAAGCCCATCTGGAGCTGAATCTGGTGAGGGACATGAAAGGCAACAAGAAGGGCTTCTACAGGTGCATAAGCAGAAAAAGCAAAGTGAGGGAAAATGTGTGCCTGCTGCTGAATGGGGCAGCAGCGCTGCTGACAACACAGAAGGACCGAGGTTCTCAATGTTTTATTTGCCTCAGTCTTTCCTGGTAACACTAGCCTTAAGGAATGAATCCCAGTCTCCTGAGACCAGTGGGAAAGTCTGGAGCAAAGAAAATTTAACCTCAGTAGAGGAGGATCAGGTTAAGGAACGTTGGACATACACAAGCCAACAGGACCTGATGGGATACAGCCAGGAGTGGTAAGGGAGCTGCTCAGTGTCATTGCAAGGCCACGCTCTATCACCTCTAAAAGGTGGTACAGGTTGCCCTGATAGGCTGTGTCCTTGGTGGTTTTAAAGAAAACTGGACAAAGCCCTGAACAATTTGGTCTGACCCTAGAGACAGCCCTACGGTGGGATAGAGACCTTCCCAAGTCCCTTCCCATCGAGATGACCCTGGTAGGTAACATCCCATGGTCGCTGGCTCTCTGCGGTCACTGGCATCACTGGTTACGTAGGCTGTCGCTCACCCAGCTGTCATGTTCTGCTCTGCCCATTTAGGTGTGGAATTTCAACCCACAGGAATTCCATGGTACAACTTGTTACATCACCTTATTTTATTTATTTTGTCTGATACTTTCTGTGATTTTTCAGCCTCTTTCCAGTGGAAGTATCTACTCTGTCATTCTTATGTAATCTGTGCACTGTTGGCAGTGTCTTTCCGACATTCTGCCTCCCACCTACTTTCTAAGATGCCTACAAAGTCATTTTTTTTAATCCAGGCATGCTATTTCACCCATTTTAACTTTCAGACTTACAGTCCAAGTCTGTCGCCTCAAAAAAAAAGCCATGTTTACGCTCTAAAAATTGGTCTGTGTATTTCAAAAGTGTCAAAATATCTCACAGATGTGCATGGGGCTGCTGACTGTGCTAATTAAAACAAATTCTTCAGGCACTTAACTATGGACTTTAAGCACTCCTGTTTGGCAGAACAGAGAAAACCAAATAAAAAATGAACAGAGCTTTTGTGCATATTGTTTTGCAGAGAATACCACTCTTCAAGCTAAGCTGTAGACTTGGCACACCATGGGCAATAAGGAGATGGGCTTTATAAAACATAGGACTCAAAACTAGCTCCCACAAGCCTGGGTTATAAGACTTTATGAAGCCTTGCTGAGTTTCTAGCTTTAAAAAAGGACATGCAGCATCACCTTCCGAAAACCAGGTTTGCTCATCTAGAAGTGATAAGATTAGTAGGTAGTCAGTAAATACAGAGCAATTAAATATCTCTATAAAGGAAAAGGTTCCATTTTTTCACCTTGAAAACACATGCACAGTTGTAGCTACTGTTTACCTTTTAAAATACATTTCTATAATATATATTGTTTACAACAGTACTTGTTCATATAAAACTGGACTTTGTTAGCACAAACATAATACTGCAAGACAATTACAAAAAAGAAGAAAATATTTTAATGGCACCTCAGCTGTTGCACAATATGCATGGAGTGCCTGTAGGTAAAGTTTGAGTGTACGGGCTCCAGGAAAATGTGATTATAAGACGTCAATATATTGTTCCAATAACAAATCCAACCAGACTGGTTGGCATAAATCAAACGTAATTATTTTGACCATGACTTTTTTTGTTGAATGAATTCCTTATACCATTGTGTTGCTTGACAAATACTTAGTGTGAAAATTCCAGCCTGCTGTGATTTTTGTCTTTGCTTTTTGTCTTTGCTTATTTGTTCTCACACACTGAGTGGAAGAATGCAGACTCACAGGAATTAATGAGGTAATTTGTAAACCTGTCAGCAAAAGACATGAGAATTAATCTAGTGGTGGTCTGGTGAAAGGAGAGATGAGGATTACAGGGGCCTCATTTCACCACTGCAGCAAAATCCTTATTTCTACATCCAGCCAGGCTTCTACTTGCATGGGCAAATCTTAGAGCTTGACGTTCCTGCTCTACAGGAATACATGATTGCCAGCCACCATGCATCCACAGGAGGCCTGAAGTAACACCTGAATTCCCTCTTCCCCTAAATCCCACATGGAACTTCCACATTTGTGCTGCATACTTCCCTCTTTGTGCCTCCTTGCCAGTCGTGCTACACAGGGTAAAAACTCTGCAACAGATGTGACATTCCATCTCCAGCACTCCTATTCTTTGCATGAATGGCTCTTTGGGGCCCCCCTGAAGGAGACTTCTCAAGGATGAAATTGTGCCAAAACCCACAAGGGCTGTTTATTGCTGTATTACTTTTATTCTATAAGATTCTTAGCAACAACAGCATGTTTTTGAGAATGTATTAAGCGACAAAGCAGGACTTTATTACTAATGTTTTGCATATTTTATTTTCTTAAGAGGAACTATTTTATTTTCTTAAGAGGAACTGAGGACAGCAATCCATCATGCAACATTGTGTTTGTTAGTTTTATTCTGCAGGGAAGTGATAGGGATCTTCTACATCTGTTGTTATTCTTTGTTTTTCATGGGGGAGCAAGAAGTCTTGCTGGCTTTATTGTTGCTCTATTTTTCCTACTCACATTCTCAGGAGAGACATCTGGGGAGAAGGCTATGAAAATGTGTGAAAGCAGAAACACTATGCAAGGCAAAGGAGGTGGTTTTATAATGACCCATGAGGACAGCTTCCCAATGGGAAAACAATCTTTGAAGGTGAAACTACTATATGAAGCTTAAATGATTGGGATGCTTGGATAATTCTTATCTTTCTTCTGTTACGAGTTTCCAGATAATTCATAAGCTATTATGAATAAGACCTATTTGCTTCACTGTTCTATTATTTGGCATGCTTTATCAATATCTGGTTGCATGGTTCCACACTGTTGCTGATCTCCACTGGCTATCTGATGATTCATCAATGCTGTGCTGAGCAAACTGGGATAGCAATAACTTTTTGCCTTGGAGTGGCCAGCCAGAAGTGAGTTCTGTTTGACCTTTGCTAGACTTAGATGCTCAGTCCCTTTGTGTCTCATGGTACAACCACCACCTCTTCTAAGACAAGCTCACCAGACACAGATGAGACTTAAGGAATTCTTACAGGTTTGAATGACACACTTACTGTATACTTGAGTAGACTGGTTTATTGGCAGCTCTCAGAAGAATGTTTAAACCCCACATCCCATGCCATATTTTCATTTTCTCAGTTCCTTGAAGACTGCCGTAATAATAAGGATGAAAAAAATATTAACCATTATGATTTAATGAGAATCTTCACAACTGGTTTATACTTTAGAGAGGAGAAAGCTGAAGAGCTGATCTCATGCCCTGTAAAGAATAAGTTCATGGGTTATGACTGAGGCAATGAGTTTGTCAAGGATAAATCTTGTCAAGTAAATCAAATGTGCTATTGCAGGACAAGGTTTTGGGGGGTAAAAAAAGGAAGCAGTGGTTATCATATAAATTAACTTTAGTAAGGTTTTAAGAGCAGAATCCAGAGGAAAGCAGCAAAAGCCTTCAGAAGCCTAGAAAACATGACCTTCAAGGAAGAACTGAACAAACTCAGGTTTCTCGGCACTAGGAAGAGAACATTGAAAAAGGTGTATGAGAAAAATATAAAGTATATGAAAAGCTGGTGCAAAGAAGAAGGAAATAAACTGCCTCCCAAACACACAGTAAGACAAGACACAGCTTAAACTGATGCATAGAAAAGTTCTGGCAGACATGAGGGAAAAATGAGAAAAGCAAGGTTAATTAAACACTGGGATGTGTGTTGGATGGATAAATGGTATCTCCATCATCAGCAAGTTTCAAGAACAGGTTAGACAAACAATGGTCAAGAATGACACATCTTGATCCTGCTTTTGAAGGGGCTGATAGAGTAGATGATATCTTAAGGCATCTCCTGACCTTTCAGTTATATATCTTTGGCTTTAGCTGCTGAAAATAGCTAAACTCTTTTTAGTAGAATACACGTTTCTTAAACAGTTCTGAGCTGATGAAAAATATCTTAAGATGTCTTTTGCCCCAGATAAATTATTTAATTAATGCTGTATTCTTGCATATTGTTATTTTGCTTTTGTTTGACCATCTCATTCTTTTCAAGGGTCAGGTTTCTTTTAAGTAAGGACTCATTTTCCAGTCATTAGTAAAGATTTTAGAAAACATTTTGTATAAAACTCTGACAGTAAAGCCAGCAGCTTCATGTAGGAATTATGGGAACCTGCCTAGAGCTTTTGTATCTGTAATTTCACTTATAAGAAAGTTTCAGATACCTTAGAAGTGCTATTTTTCACCCTGAAGAAGTCATGCAAGGGCAGTGGGAATAAAAGTTACCTGTTAATTAGCTATCACCTTTTTTAAAAGACAAGGTGTAGTTCAGCTACTTCACCTATCCTGTTCATTATCTCTCTCCTGAGCTTGTAAAGCAATAGGATAATGATTTCATTTGTACGATGGTGATAACTGTCCAGCAGGAGCAAGTCTGAAACGATCAATTAATTTCCTGAAAGCCATTCATTACTTCCTCGTAATGACTTTGTCCTGATTTCGGCTGGGGTGGAGTTAATCTTCTTTCTAGTAGCTGGTATAGTGTTATGTTTTGGACTTAGTATGAGAAGAATGTTGATAACACACTGATGTTTTCAGTTGTTGCTAAGTAGTGTTTAGGCTAAAAGTCAAGGATTTTTCAGCTTCTGATGCCCAGCCAGCAAGAAGGCTGGAGGGGCACAAGAAGTTGGGAGGGGACACAGCCAGGACAGCTGACCCAAACTGGCCAAAGGGGTATTCCATACCATGTGACGTCATGCCCAGTATACAAACTGGGGGGACTTGGCCGGGGGGGGGGGGGGGGGTTTGTCGTCTG